TGTTTGTATTACCCGTCACTAGTTTGGTATTACTAATTTAATTAATCTTTGTCACAGGTGTACGAGGCTGCTGGGCTGGCCAATGCTGACAGTTTTATCCGACAGTTCCCTGATGGCTACAGTACCATTCTGGGGGAGAGAGGAGTTACCGTGTCTGGGGGCCAGAAACAGAGGATAGCTATCGCCCGCGCTCTACTGAAAATCCCATCCATCCTCATACTAGACGAGGCTACCAGGTCAGTTGCAAGGGAATGACTTGATCGTAAAACATGTTAAAATGTAGGCCTAACATGTAAAAATGTAACATGTGGAAATATAAGAAGTTAAAATGTAACATGTTAAAATGTAATGTGTTAAAATGTAACATTTTAAAATGTAACATGCTTAAATGTAACGTGTTAAAATGTAACATATTAAAATGTAACATGTAAAAATGTAACATGTAAAATTGTAACCTTTTAAAACGTAACATGCTTAAAGGTAACTTGTTAAAATGTAACACATTAAAAACGTTATGAGTACTGGTATGAGTAAAAGTTTTTATGTCAGCTTGGTGGTTGAGTGATTATAGTACTGCTGTAATCAGAAGGTAGCTGGTTTGATTCTATGTTACTTTGTTTGTATTACCCGTCACTAGTTTGGTATTACTAATTTAATTAATCTTTGTCACAGGTGTACGAGGCTGCTGGGCTGGCCAATGCTGACAGTTTTATCCGACAGTTCCCTGATGGCTACAGTACCATTCTGGGGGAGAGAGGAGTTACCGTGTCTGGGGGCCAGAAACAGAGGATAGCTATCGCCCGCGCTCTACTGAAAATCCCATCCATCCTCATACTAGACGAGGCTACCAGGTCAGTTGCAAGGGAAAGACTTGATCATAAAAAATTTTAAAATGTAACATGTAAATATGTAAAATGTAAAAATGTAGACGACGACGACGACGACGACGACGACGACGACGACGACGACGACGACGACGACGACGACGACGACGACGACGACGACGACGACGACGACGACGACGACGACGACGACGACGACGACGACGACGACGACGACGACGACGACGACGCCGCCGACGACGACGACGACGACGACGACGACGACGACGACAATATGATCATACCACATAAGATTCATCAATATGGTGTAAACGGTTTTTGAGATATAAATTTGTAACTAATTCGTCAAATCAGTATAGCCTAGAAATGAACTAGCCCGACTTCTCCCTGTTGTTGAACCCATCATAACCATGGTATGGGATTGCAATTCATTTCACAAGTAGCTAAAGACATTATAATAATACTACATAAAAATCATTAAAATTGTTTAAACGATTTTTGATATATACATTTTTAACTAAATCGGCAGATCTGTTGCCTTGAAATGAACAGGCCCAACTTCTGCCTCTTATAGATTCCATCATAACCATGGTATGGGAATGCAATTTATTTTACAGGTAGCTTAAGACATTATGATCATACTACATAAAAATGATTAAAATCGTTTAAACGATTTTTGAGATATACATTTTTAACTAAATCGGCAAGTCAGTAGCCTAGAAATGAACAGGCCCAACTTCTACCTCTTATAGAAACCGTCATAAGAATGGTATGGGAATGCAATTTATTTTACAGGTAGCTTAAGACATTATGATCATACTACATAAAAATGATTAAAATCCTTTAAACGATTTTTGAGATATACAATTTTAACTGAATCGGCAAGTCAGTAGCCTAGAAATGAACAGGCCCAACTTCTACCTCTTATAGATTCCATCATCACCATGGTATGGAAATGCAATTTATTTCTCAGTTAGAGTAAGACATTATGATCCTACTACATAAAAATTATTAAGATTTTGTAAATGTTTTCGAGATATAAATTTTTAACTATATCGGCCAATCAGTAACCTAGGAATGAACAGGCCCAACTTCTACCTCTTATAGAAACCGTCATAAGAATGGTATGGGAATGCAATTTATTTTACAGGTAGCTTAAGACATTATGATCATACTACATAAAAATCATTAAAATTGTTTAAACGATTTTTGAGATATACTTTCTTAACTAAATCGGCAGATCAGTTGCCTTGAAATGAACAGGCACAACTTCTACCACATATAGATTCCATCATAACCATGGTATGGAAATGCAATTTATTTCTCAGTTAGAGTAAGACATTATGATCCTACTACATAAAAATTATTAAAATCTTGTAAAAGGTTTTCGAGAAATAAATTTTTAACTATATCGGCCAATTAGTAACCTAGGAATGAACAGGCCCATGTTCTACCTCTTATAGAAACCGTCATAAGAATGGTATGGGAATGCAATTTATTTTACAGGTAGCTTAAGACATTATGATCATACTACATAAAAGTGATTAAAATCGTTTAAACGATTTTTGAGATATACAATTTTAACTGAATCGGCAAGTCAGTAGCCTAGAAATGAACAGGCCCAACTTCTACCTCTTATAGATTCCATCATAACCATGGTATGGAAATGGAATTTATTTCTCAGTTAGAGTAAGACATTATGATCCTACTACATAAAAATTATTAAAATCTTGTAAAAGGTTTTCGAGATATAAATTTTTAACTATATCGGCCAATCAGTAACCTAGGAATGAACAGGCCCAACTTCTACCTCTTATAGAAACCGTCATAAGAATGGTATGGGAATGCAATTTATTTTACAGGTAGCTTAAGACATTATGATCATACTACATAAAAATGATTAAAATCGTTTAAACGATTTTTGAGATATACAATTTTAACTGAATCGGCAAGTCAGTAGCCTAGAAATGAACAGGCCCAACTTCTACCTCTTATAGATTCCATCATAACCATGGTATGGAAATGCAATTTATTTCTCAGTTAGAGTAAGACATTATGATCCTACTACATAAAAATTATTAAAATCTTGTAAAAGGTTTTCAAGATATAAATTTTTAACTATATCGGCCAATCAGTAACCTAGGAATGAACAGGCCCAACTTCTACCTCTTATAGAAACCGTCATAAGAATGGTATGGGAATGCAATTTATTTTACAGGTAGCTTAAGACATTATGATCATACTACATAAAAATGATTATAATCGTTTAAACGATTTTTGAGATATACAATTTTAACTGAATCGGCAAGTCAGTAGCCTAGAAATGAACAGGCCCAACTTCTACCTCTTATAGAAACCATCATAACAATGGTATGGGAATGCAATTTATTTCTCACGTAGCTTAAAACATGATGATCATACTACATAAAAATCATTAAAATTGTTTAAACGATTTTTGAGATATACTTTCTTAACTAAATCGGCAGATCAGTTGCCTTGAAATGAACAGGCACAACTTCTACCACATATAGATTCCATCATAACCATGGTATGGAAATGCAATTTATTTCTCAGTTAGAGTAAGACATTATGATCCTACTACATAAAAATTATTAAAATCTTGTAAAAGGTTTTCGAGATATAAATTTTTAACTATATCGGCCAATTAGTAACCTAGGAATAAACAGGCCCAACTTCTACCTCTTATAGAAACCGTCATAAGAATGGTATGGGAATGCAATTTATTTTACAGGTAGCTTAAAACATTATGATCATACTACATAAAAATGATTAAAATCGTTTAAACGATTTTTGAGATATACAATTTTAACTGAATCGGCAAGTCAGTAGCCTAGAAATGAACAGGCCCAACTTCTACCTCTTATAGATTCCATCATAACCATGGTATGGAAATGCAATTTATTTCTCAGTTAGAGTAAGACATTATGATCCTACTACATAAAAATTATTAAAATCTTGTAAAAGGTTTTCGAGATATAAATTTTTAACTATATCGGCCAATCAGTAACCTAGGAATGAACAGGCCCAACTTCTACCTCTTATAGAAACCGTCATAAGAATGGTATGGGAATGCAATTTATTTTACAGGTAGCTTAAGACATTATGATCATACTACATAAAAATGATTAAAATCGTTTAAACGATTTTTGAGATATACATTTTTAACTAAATCGGCAAGTCAGTAGCCTAGAAATGAACAGGCCCAACTTCTACCTCTTATAGAAACCATCATAACAATGGTATGGGAATGCAATTTATTTCTCAGGTAGCTTAAAACATGATGATCATACTACATAAAAATGATTAAAATTGTTTAAACGATTTTTGAGATATACTTTCTTAACTAAATCGGCAGATCAGTTGCCTTGAAATGAACAGGCACAACTTCTACCACATATAGATTCCATCATAACCATGGTATGGAAATGCAATTTATTTCTCAGTTAGAGTAAGACATTATGATCCTACTACATAAAAATTATTAAAATCTTGTAAAAGGTTTTCGAGATATAAATTTTTAACTATATCGGCCAATTAGTAACCTAGGAATAAACAGGCCCAACTTCTACCTCTTATAGAAACCGTCATAAGAATGGTATGGGAATGCAATTTATTTTACAGGTAGCTTAAAACATTATGATCATACTACATAAAAATGATTAAAATCGTTTAAACGATTTTTGAGATATACAATTTTAACTGAATCGGCAAGTCAGTAGCCTAGAAATGAACAGGCCCAACTTCTACCTCTTATAGATTCCATCATAACCATGGTATGGAAATGCAATTTATTTCTCAGTTAGAGTAAGACATTATGATCCTACTACATAAAAATTATTAAAATCTTGTAAAAGGTTTTCGAGATATAAATTTTTAACTATATCGGCCAATCAGTAACCTAGGAATGAACAGGCCCAACTTCTACCTCTTATAGAAACCGTCATAAGAATGGTATGGGAATGCAATTTATTTTACAGGTAGCTTAAGACATTATGATCATACTACATAAAAATGATTAAAATCGTTTAAACGATTTTTGAGATATACAATTTTAACTGAATCGGCAAGTCAGTAGCCTAGAAATGAACAGGCCCAACTTCTACCTCTTATAGAAACCATCATAACAATGGTATGGGAATGCAATTTATTTCTCAGGTAGCTTAAAACATGATGATCATACTACATAAAAATGATTAAAATTGTTTAAACGATTTTTGAGATATACTTTCTTAACTAAATCGGCAGATCAGTTGCCTTGAAATGAACAGGCACAACTTCTACCACATATAGATTCCATCATAACCATGGTATGGAAATGCAATTTATTTCTCAGTTAGAGTAAGACATTATGATCCTACTACATAAAAATTATTAAAATCTTGTAAAAGGTTTTCGAGATATAAATTTTTAACTATATCGGCCAATTAGTAACCTAGGAATAAACAGGCCCAACTTCTACCTCTTATAGAAACCGTCATAAGAATGGTATGGGAATGCAATTTATTTTACAGGTAGCTTAAAACATTATGATCATACTACATAAAAATGATTAAAATCGTTTAAACGATTTTTGAGATATACAATTTTAACTGAATCGGCAAGTCAGTAGCCTAGAAATGAACAGGCCCAACTTCTACCTCTTATAGATTCCATCATAACCATGGTATGGAAATGCAATTTATTTCTCAGTTAGAGTAAGACATTATGATCCTACTACATAAAAATTATTAAAATCTTGTAAAAGGTTTTCGAGATATAAATTTTTAACTATATCGGCCAATCAGTAACCTAGGAATGAACAGGCCCAACTTCTACCTCTTATAGAAACCGTCATAAGAATGGTATGGGAATGCAATTTATTTTACAGGTAGCTTAAGACATTATGATCATACTACATAAAAATGATTAAAATCGTTTAAACGATTTTTGAGATATACATTTTTAACTAAATCGGCAAGTCAGTAGCCTAGAAATGAACAGGCCCAACTTCTACCTCTTATAGAAACCATCATAACAATGGTATGGGAATGCAATTTATTTCTCAGGTAGCTTAAAACATGATGATCATACTACATAAAAATGATTAAAATTGTTTAAACGATTTTTGAGATATACAGTCTCTTTACGTGGAGATTGGTGTACCGAGCGTCGAGTCACGGTTACTCGGCTGAGGCATTCCACAGGCTGTGTGACGGAGTTGCTCCGACCTATGTCATTGTAACGGTAACTTAAAATATACCTATTTCACTCTTATGATTAAAAAAAACGTTCTATGGCCTATGGAATGCTGTGCAAAAAATGACAAAAGAGAACAAAAAGTGACATCTTCATGGTTTTTTTACCAATATTAAGTTTAGACAAATTTGTAATTTTATGCTCCAAGTGTTTATTAAATGTGTGTTTCTTTCTGCAGTTTTTCTTTCTGGCTTTCAAATATTTCGGTCTGACGAATAGTAAATGACGTGTGGTGATGTTCTGTATTATGACGAAAGTCTACGTAGTTTGCTGAAACAGTCACAGATAGCAGGACTGTCTGGAACTAGTCAGTCCTATTGTATTGCTAATTGGAGGGAGAAAGACGGGACAACAAGTTGATTTGAAATCAACTTGTTGTCCCGAAAACTACTTGCCGAAATCAAGATTGACAGAAAGGGATTTTACGGGGAAATTTAATACCAACTTACACAACAATAAAACACCCATTCCTAGCTTAACGCAGACATAAAACTACCTGTTCTTCACGGTTTGCTGCTGCGCAGAAATTGAATGGAATGTGTAGGCCATATCGCCACTCACGGGTGCACGTTCAGGGTGGCAGAAAGGAACTAGAGCACTCACCGGTGAGTGGCCCGCAGCGAACGTGTTAAGAGGTTATTTATACTAAAGAGGATTCAAGATTTGTCAAATATCTATGAGCAAGAGGTGAACTATACCAATAATTGTCAAAGGAAACTAACATTCACACCTAATAAATAGATTAAACTTGTGTCAGTTATAGTGTTAATTTGTTTAATTACTTTTAAATGAAACACTAATACTGAATCGGTGCAAAGCAATATATGCGAAAGCATGCTGACCTTAGTAAGCCTTCTTACTATTCCATAGAACACAACAGGCTTTTGTCAAAACATAAAACAAGACATTTATTTTAACCGTTTAGCACTCCTGTTTGTTCTTTAGTTAGTCACAAAAAAGGACCTGAAAGCACAAAAATACGTCAAATAACACCTATAAGTGTTATTTGACATATTTTTGTGCTTTCAGGTAATTAAATAACACGTACGATGCCGATCAAGAAGTTATTTACAAAAATGGAGGAGTTCATTTGCACAGACCTTGCCACTCACTTCTCATACTCTAACTCTGTGTCTGCCATTGCAGGGAGCCCGCGGCGAGGTGTGTGGAGGCTTTAGTGACGTCCCTTGGGGCAAAACAAACACCAAGAGTCACTACATCCCGTCTGATCGTGCATTCCTCTTCACACTTGCCAATAATCAGGATCTGCCTCCAACAAAGTACAACATTGTCAAGAAACCTTTCGCCATCTGCTACCATCCTGAGTAAGTCTATAAACATACAAAGAAATCAGCTTTAGCTTAGCTCAGTTATATAGTTAACTGAAGAAAACACCAAAGCCCTTTTTTGTTAAATCGTTCTTTGTCCTCCTCATAAGTATGGCATTCTAAAGCTGATTGTGAAATGGAAGAATGAGTGTAGGTGGTGTGTGAAGTCTTGTATGTATTTCTTACTGACCCAAAGTGGTTTGTAGCTGTCAATTAAATTACTATATTTTCAAAGACAAATGGTCAAATCAAGAGAAGTCATTATCCACACCACTAAAACAGCCCAGCCAAGACACAGAGACATACACCAGCACAACACACGACATGCCGCCAATTTTTCCCTCCCACAACACCATCTGAGTCTGTACGAGAAGAAACCATCCTACAAAGGTGCTCTGTACTTTAACAACCTACCAGAGCACCTCAAGAGAGAACAACCCAATCTGCTCAAGAAGCACCTGACAACATGGCTTATGGACCGGCCGTTCTACTCTGAGGATGAATTCTTAAACAATAAGCTACCATGAAAAAAAGAAGAAAAAAATTCTAATTGTAATTGCAAATTACTGTAATAGTTTACGTACATACTGTACATTTTATGTACCTGACGCATGAATGTTCTCTAGGAATATTTCAATAAAGATTTTGTCTATTGTCTATTGTCTATTGTCTATTGTCTATTGTCATTGTTTTCAAATTTCGCAATATCTAAATGCATTTTTTTAATTTGGGCTGACTCACTGAAAAAATTGTAAAACTGTAGAATTACATTCTCCATAACGAGTATCTGAATGTTTTAGCTGTGGACCGATATTCGGAGCCGGGGCCGATCTGTTGATAGCTAGCAATTGTAACACCAACATGGACAGCTACTCCAACCTGCCTCACTCCTACGACGGAGACAATGCGTCCAGCTCAGTGCTGATGAGTGACTACAACTTTAGCGTGCTCGACTACGAGGTCTTCACACCCGTTGGCAAGTGACGTGTTGGTTGTGAAAGTTCTTGCCCCCAGCATGGCTTGGAGTCTATAATGTGTGAGGGTTAGGTTTCACAACTACAGTTGCCTCTCGATACTTGTAATCCAATAAACTAATGAGTCATTGGTCAATCTTTTACCAGGAATTTGATTCGTGTTTTGACAGGTGTCTTGGGTCTTTCTGGTCACGGCCCTTAAAGTGAATAATAACTTGGTGATTGTTGCTTAGAAAGTGTACATTACTACACATTGAACTTATGATACTACATTTTGTAGCATTCAAATGTTGTATAACTCTGTTTGTCCCACTGATTTTAGAATATAGATTTTGATTTTTACTTTAAGATACTCCGGTCTACATACCTGTAATACAGCTGTTTCCAATAGCTCAGATAGGTTGTATGGGAAATAGTTATAAGCGTCTAGACTGTCAGTGCAACTCCGAGGAACGAGGATCAGATCGGAACCCCCCCCCCCCCCCCCCCCCCCGCTCCGTGCCGATGGCGTGACGTCAACCATTACCGCAACGATACGGAACTGAGTCATGAGCCTTGGTGGTGTAGTGGATAGCGTGTCGGGTTGATAATCGGAAGGTGCCGGGTTCGAATCCCACTGATAGCACTAACTTTTTGTCAACAATTTTTTTTCATATCAGCAAGTTTGGTTGGTTTGGTTAGGTTATGACAGTTTAATTTTATAATTTAAAAATTATAAAATTGAATTTGAGACATTTATTTTATAATTTTATTTTTAGAACAGAACTATTTTTTCGATAAGTAAACCTTCATCCGAGGTTTTCATTATCAGCAAGTTTGGTTAGTTTGGTTAGGTTATGACAGTTTAATTATATTTAATTTAAATTTAACTTACAAATGATACGTTTTGACAGCAACAGTGATAGAGATAACAATGTTAGCGCCTCTGATCCTCGTTCCTCGGAGTTGCACTGGCAGTCTAGACGCTAGTGAAATAGTTTATTTTCTTTTGGTAAACACTAAACAATGCTTAAATTAATGCATTTAACAGACAAAGGGAAGACAACAAGGTTACACTAGGTTGATGTTTAAGATTACAGGTTAAGTTTTTTTATACGTTTAGGTTATCTGATGTTTTTCCATCCCCGACCAAATAAGATAAGTCTTAGATCATCGAGACTCAACTGTATTTGAAAATCATATAAATTATATTTTAAGTGAAAAAGAAACAGTAACTTAATTCTTAATAAAATATCAACTTAAGTAAGTATAACAGAATTAAGAAAACAGTGTGGCACCTTCAACTGATCATGACTGTGCACTTGTACTAGGTGATCTTCCTGTTATTCGGTTACCTCGGGACATTTGTCCAAACACAACTAGTAACAGTTTTGCCAAATGTACAAAGACACGGAAAAGTTTAACTTTTTCTACACAGAGACAGTTGACTATTATGATGTGCCGTACTTTATTTGGGATTCTTACACGTATTTCAATTAAAAAAAAAAAAAAAAACAAGTTAAGTACCTATTAAATGTGAATTTCTGCCATCAAAGATTAGTGTGCCATAGTACATTTTATTAATGTAACAAGACTTTTCAAAGAGGCGTAACATGCATGACTTTTTAAGTGCCAACAGTTTCAACTTAGGAAATAGGTTTCTACTCTGATTGTAAATATGTAAATAAGGAAACAAGTTTTTATTTTGAATATCATTAGTATAGTTTGAAATCATATTTTTTGTTTGTTTAAGGAAAGGCTCTAGGCTAAGATTTTGATTTTAGAATAAAACGATAGCAGCTACCTTACCCTAAAATACGAGTAAATCCATAGTACAGAAGACACCGAAATCAAAAATATTATGTCCCCTGGGGAACTTTGTCATGTGTAGGTAGGTAGCTGCTATAATTTTTTTCTAAAAATCACTTGTTTAAGGTAACTTTAGTTAATAATAATTATTTTTGGAAGTTATTTATCTTGGTTGAAGTATGATGCAATTACAGTAGTACTCCCTCTTATCCGGACTCCTCGGGACCGAGGCCAGTCCGGATAACAGGTTTTCTGGTTATACCGACGTCCCCCAAAACTTGTTTAAACGGACTGTTTAAATGCATAATGTATACAGTATTTGAGTTAAATTTAGGAGAGCATTGTATTTATACAGTACACGTGATTGCTGGTCTCAAATCTTTCCCACAAGAACAGTCTTTTCAGTAATGCCCACTTCCTGCCTATCTGGTCTGGTTAAAACGATGTGCTGATAAAATTGACCGGTGTTAAAGAGATGTCATTTCCGCCGAGTGTAGTCCGGTTAAAAGGTGTCCGGATAAGAGGGAGTCTACTGTATTTTAATTTAAGTTGAAGTGCTATGACTGGTTGTGTATTGAATTAAATTGAATAAATACATAGTTCATTATTATCTTTAGTTTCTTATATTTTTATTTTATAGCTCCTTATTTTAAAATTAAAAACCCTTTAAGACATTTTATTTTTATACTAGCTGTTACCCGTCGGTTTTTCCCGACATACCTATGAGTTTTATTATGAACCAGCTGAAGTTGTGACTTCACTACTGGCTAACAAGACTTGGTATATTATTTTTCCCTTCTGTATGTATTAATAGTCAAAGGTAACAGTAACAGTTATAAGGCTTAAATCCATTCTCATAGCCTAATCACCTAAGCTAATTAGACATATGGGACCACTGAAATCAAACTAAAGGAGAACTTTTTCATTTGAAAAATTAACTGCCTTTCTACCAAGGAAACCAGAAACCTTCTCTGGATGACCAAACCCCCCACCACCACGCCGTGCCGTGACCGTGGAATTAAAATCGAAACGGAACATCCGAACTGTACGAACGATACAAATTGATGTCATCGGTGTTCGTGGCGTAGTGGATAGCGTACTTCACTGGTATCATTGACTATATAGTCAATGCTGGTATTCATGAGGTATCCAGATCATATCCCTCTAGTGACACTAACTTTTTGTCAAAGATTTTGCTTAGATTGCGATTACTTCTTAACTGTACATCTTTTGTTAGAATTTGAGGCATTTGTAATTTTATTTTATGAACAGGACTATTTTTCATTAATTAGTAAACCTTCATTCGATTATTATCTTATATCTTTTTTTATATTTCAGCAAGTTTGGTTGGTAAGGTTATATGACAGGTTAATTTTATAATTAAAAATTATAAAATTCCTTCATTCGATTTTTACCTTTTTTATACTATGAGGAAGTTTGGTTGGTTAGTTTAGGTTATAGCAGTTAAATTTTATAATCGAAAAATTAATTGTTTAATAAAAAAAATAATTTAATAATTTTTCATAAGTCGACGTGAGGGGCTATCCCACAATCCCACACTTCTTCGCAGAAGAGGTTCTCATCGGTTTCTGTCCAAGACCAGAGAGACGCTAGTTACGGCGCGGTGGTGGTGGGGTTTTGGTCCTCCAGAGAAAGTCTCATCTTCGAACTGCTCTCTCTGGAACCAACCTATAATGTTTTTAACCAAAATACTATTCTTGTTTTATCTCCATTCACTAATAGTTATGCTCTTGAACGAAATTTGCCAATAGTACAGTTTAGTTTTTTCATAACTTTATTGAACATTGTAAGATAGGCATCATAGGGTTGATTAAGTAACATAACAACCTTAATTCTGTGGCATAGTGTTCTCTGATATATTTAAAAACATTTCGTTTTGATGTTACAAAGATAGAACAGTTTTTTTTTTTTTTTTTTTTGACAGGAGCAAACATTTAAACATGACATTAGATTAGCTGTCATGTTTTTATCTCTCTCTTGATCGATCAAAACCTGTTGGGAATTGGACGAGTAGCAGGTTTGCTTTCATTTCAAGCTTGAACTGATCGTGGGTTTGTCCTTACTGAAGCTGTTATACAAGCTTGAACTGATTGTAGATTTGTCCTTACTGAAGATGTTATACAAGCTTGAACTGATCGTAGGTTTGTCATTTACTGCAGCTGTACACAAGCTTGAAATTGGTCATAGGTTTGTCCATAGGTAGCATCATCTCCTGCCAATAGAGTATGAATCGCCAACTGTCCAGCTGTTAACTCATTGGTCATCTGAGTTGCAGACATCTGATTGACAGACAGCTGGTCTTCTGAAAAAAGCAAACAGATTTGTTTGTTGGGCGGAAAAAATACATAAAGTGGTTTTTAACGACACAAATATTTAAAGTAGCCTCTATTTAAAATAAACTGTATCAGGAAACTGACACATGGTAACATCAGCCTATTGGTTTGTCATTAAAATTGAACATACTACTACTTTCATATACTTCACTTATAGGTAAAAAACTATAAATTAAAAATGTGTATCCTTATATACAAATACAATACGTGAAGGAGATTTCTACGAAACACAACTCCTCCATTAATAATGTACGGATTTTTACAAGTGATATGTCAAAATTAAGTATGTTTTGTGTAGACGCCTCCTTTCACCAATTCCTGTAATAAAGTCCTCGGGCTTTGCCCCACAGGCCATCAAAATCCCAATGTGTTTTTATACAAAAAGATTTTGTTTACTTAAACAGACGAATAATTTGTATTAATTACAGCTGTTCATAGTAAACACATGATACACACAAGAGTGTTTGTTTTCAGTTTTGATAACTGGAGTGGAGTGATTGATTATATTATCTTTGAGTTTACTCTATTAAGTCATCGGAAATAATTATGACTGTTGTTCGTTTTGAACCTGTAATACTTTGCGATTGTTCGAATTCGAGCAACACGTGCACTAGTATTATATTAATAGGCAAGCGGCGTGAGTAACTATAGGGTAGTTACTCACGCTCATGACAAACATTGCGTTAATTTTAGAACGGTAAAATTTTTATCGTGGAGGTTATGCTATAACATACTTCATTTTGACCAAATTCATTAGGGCCATTTTTGTGAAAATTGTTTTTTCAGTTATTTTATAAGTTTTTTTTACAGGTGTAGTCTGTATTTCAAATAATGATGTACACATACACAGACACAAACAAACATACATCACTTAGAAAACCACTTATATGGGAT